CTTTTAAACACTCAGAAAGTGTTTTTTACCACACTACTTCCCAGCAGTAGGTAAAATGTTTTAAGTTTGTCAAGCAGTTTAAGGACAATATAGAAAAAAAAAAAAAAAAATCACTCCAGTTCCTGGAAAGACCCCATTTTATAGGGAATAATTTCATATAAACATATGCAGAAAACATGACTAGGAATGAGATGAATCCACATCCATTAAGCATTCTGACTTTTATAAACAATACAAAGAAATTTAATAACTTCTGTATTTATAGACAATATGGAACTCTCTCCCATTTCAACGATTTCTTCTTAATACTAACAAAGGCTAATACCTTAATAGTAAAGTAATGCTATAATTTATTGTCCAAGCTGGGGCATTTTTGAGAGTGAAAGGAGGTGTTAATAATTGCACTGGGACAACAGGTATTAACCAGAAAATGAGGGTATATGGTCATATAATTTTACAGTAAAAATAAATTGGCAAGTAGTCCTTCCCCAAAGAGGAAACTCTATATTTTCCCCCAAAATATGGAAGACTGTTTAATTTTGGGAGTCTTGAAAAGTTAACCTTTCACTGAATTTGAAGTGCTAAGTTTTGTTTGGAGCCCTGGTGGCGTAGTGGAATTTACCATACACCACGTGAAGCACTATATAACTTGTGGTCTTGAAAGTCAGACACGCAAGACAACAGTATCACTGTTGGTGTTCCTATTCTGGGGAGCATATGCATCTGTAATACATTTTTAAAGGGCTTTAGATCTCACTAAACAGAAAGGACATGTAAAAAACTATATGCTATTTCTTCTGATTTTGGTTAAGGTCACCGATGCTGATTTTGGTTAAGGTCACCGATGCTGATTTTGGTTAAGGTCACCGATGCTTAAGTCTTAATTGCTGTGACATAGAGAATACCTGGCTCTTAAGTTACAATAAAGAATCACAGCAACATCAAATGAATCTTAACAGTAATGCCAGCAGAGGGTACTAGAGGCCAAAAAGGAACAAAGTTGAACCCAGGCAGCATGGGTGAGCCAAGATTACAACCACCCTCATGTTTTCCCATCTACAAATCTCAATCCTCATATGCACACTGTTTTCCCAGCTGGGGGCCTGTTCCTAACCGCATGTTCTGGCTTTTCTGCCAATTATTCTCTCTGAATATCTGCCATCCTTCCTGGTCACCAGTCCTACCATTTCCGTTCCCTGTCTCCCTCCCATACACCTCTTACAGACAGCTTCTTCCAACCCTGTGCCCTTTTTCCATGTTCACAGACTTCCTACTCAAGTCTTTTTGTATAATTTACCTCTTCCTGCTTGAGCACCACTGTTTTAAATCAGTCATCTCTAAAATAATAATATTTCCTATAAAGCCTGTTTACAGTGATAGGGTTAGAAGGAGTTATAATTTAATTAATTTAATAATTAAATCTATTAAATATTGTTTAATATGAATATATTTTAATACAATTTACTAACTTCAATTTCACTCATCTCTGAAAGGTCATTTAGCTTCATATATCTAACTTAAAAAAGACCTTTAGGAGCAGGGCTAGATCTGAGTCACAGGACTAATGCAAAGATCACTGAAAAATTAATAGGCAAGCCCATTCCTGCCCCAGTGGTCAAAGCTGTCTAAAATTTTTTTCCCCACACACATGTATTTCTGTTTTGTTATTAATTCATATAAATTCACCTTAAACTTCTGTTTTCTAGGTCAAACAATGCCAAATCCTCTAACCTTTCAATCCCATTGATTATTTTTACCAGCTTTATTGAGATGTAATTCATATACCCCTTGTTGTCAAGTCAATTCTGACTCACAGCAGCCCTACAGGTCAGAGCAGAATTGCCCCTATAGGGTTTCCAAGGAGCAGCTAGTGGGTTTGAACTGCAGACTTTTTGGTTAGCAGACAAGCTCTTAACCACTACACCACCAGGGCTCCTAGTAATCTGTATACTAGTCATTAACTCAATGACTTTTAGTATACTAATAATTCATTGACTTTTAGGTTATTCATATAGTTGGGCATCCATCACAATCAAACTTAGAACATTTTCATTAACCCCCCCAAAAAAATCTCTGCACCACTAAGCCATCACTCTCCAGCTTCCCATCCCCACTGGCCCTAGGCAACCATTAGTCTACTTTGCCTATTATACAGGTTTGCCTATTCTGGACAGTTCACTAATGAATTCACTAATCTGACTCTGAGTGTCTTTGTTTCCTAAATAGATCAAGAAGTTGGCAGGTAAGGAAGAAGGGAGTATCTAAAATGATCTGTGACTGGAGCAGGGCTTTGAACCAGTTCTTCCCAGTTCAGTCACAGCCGAGGAACCGAAACCAGAAAAGACCCAAATTTTCAAAACTTGAGTGAACCAGAACAATAACCAGAACGGGAAAAATTAGGGATCTTGCCCAGCTACCACCACCAACTGCTCTGACAGGGATCACAATACAGGGTCCTGGACAGAGCTGGGAAAAATGTAGAACAAGGTTGTAACTCACAAAAAAAAAACAAAAACAAAAAAAACAGACTTTCTGGTCTGAGACTGGAGAAACCCCAAAGAGTATGGCCCCCAGACACCCTTATAGCTCAGTAATGAAGTCACTCCTGAGGTACACCCTTCAGCCAAAGATTAGACAGGCCCATAAAACAAAATGAGACTAAATGGGCACACCAGCCCAGGGGCAAGGAAGAGAGGGCACAAAGTTGACAGGAAAGCTGGTTAATGGGGAACCCAAGGTTGAGAAGGGTAGAGTGTTAACACGTCTCAGCAACCAATGGCAACCAATGTCACAAAAGAAGGTATATTGTTTAATGAGAAACTAGTTTGCTCTGTATACCTTCACAGTACAATAAAAACTTAAAAAAAAAAAAAGAATTAGGGTCAGAGCCACGTTGGAAACTTAATCCTCCTCTTAGAAAACAAGGGCAGCATACACGTTGCATAGCAACCAATCTCCTGCCCACTGTATTTTGAACAGAGTCAGAAACAGTGGTGCCCTGCTCAAACATAGTGGCCAACCACGCCATTTTGAATGTGTGTCGCTCTCCACAGACCCGCCAATAATCCAATCTCACACATCTGGCTCCTGAATGGGCTCACTATGCCTCTTTTGAGTTTCCGGAGTCTCCCATTCCAGGCCTTCAACCTGTAATTTTTCCCATTCTGGTTACCATTCTGGATCACCCAAATTTTAAACATTCAGGTCTGTTCTGGTTTTGTTTCATCGGCCATGACTGAATTGGTTCGAACCGGTTCAAAGCCCTGAATTGGGGCTTCAGAATAGTTTTAAAGAGATCTAAACCTAAAGCTAGGTGAAGAGTAAATCATTCTAAACAGCAGGACAAACTTTTTTTTGTTTTGTTTTTTAAAGGGCAATTTCCTAGCAAAGAGGGGGAAGAGAACCGGATTCTGAGGAGATAGCATCTTCTTTAGGGAAGGAAGCCCTAGTTTCACCTCTGGAAAAATGAGTTGGTGTAGGATAGATATCTTCTGGCAGACACTTTGAAACTCTGAATTTTAGTTGTTACTGTCCTAAGAAGAGCCTCAACTCTTCTTCAAATAAAGTGCTATGTATTCCATTAAAATGATGAAGTTATATATCATTTAATCAAGTACATGACTATTCTGAACAAATAGAAGCCTTTATATAGCTGAGTAAATGATATATATACATATACATTACACACATACAGATTAAATGCCATGTCTAGCCAAAGTTTTCAATTACCAATAAAATCTGTACACTTTAGATCTTTAAACAAATTGATGTTTGAAGAAATAATGGATGTCAGGTATATGAGTAAGGATTTGGCTCTTAGCCATATTATAGAAATTAGGAAAAGAACACATAGGCTAAAAAATTTACATTAAAATCTCATAAAGATCATTTCATTTTGCTGCCAACAGCCTATTTTCACTTATTTTACATACAATGCCAATCTTTTCATTGTGTGCCCAGCCTCCTAGAGAAAACTTAAAGCAGAATGGAAAATGAGTGATGGAGAAGACATCCGAATACCTGGAAACTAACTGCTGAAAGTGATGAGACAGGAAAACACCACATGGAGCAGATCACTCCAAAAGCAGAAGGCCCCAGGATTACGGAGTGAAGAAAGAGAGGGAAGAGAGAAATCCCCTGAAGGGTTCACAGTGCAATCACCAATGACCAAGTTGGTGAGCCTGAGTCCTTAAAAAGAGTTAATTTAGCTTATTACTTAGGAAGAAGGTAAGAATGCAGGGCATTTTGGAACACACTTAGACACCAAGATCAGGAGTTAAAATAGTGACCCTTAAGGATATTGATTATTTCCAAAATTTTAGAATCAAGATAAATAATAAGCCATCCTTCTTTTTCCACCCATCCCCCCCTCCCCCCTTCTTACTTTGTCTCCATCCATGACTAAGCCTGATCTGGAAACAGAGGACTGGAACAAGAAAATTAACTCCGGAAAGCTTGGTCTGAACATATCAATAATTGTTTTAAGTTGGAAGGAAACTAAGCAAAACTCTAAGTCTAAATAATTTACATAACTTGAAAGACTCAAATAAGCTTAATTTGAGCACCACTTCTACACCTCTTTTTTCCCTCCCTAACCTTCATCTTTCCACAAAAGCCACATAATCCTTTAGATTAGTGGTTCTCAAAGTGGGGAATCCCGAGCAGCAGCAGAATCACCTGGGAACTTGTTAGAAATGCAGCTACACCGTAGACCGGCTGATTCCAAAACTCTGGGGTTGGGGCCCAGCAATGTGTTTTAAGAAGCCCTCCAGGTGATTCTGATGCTCACCAAAGTTTGAGAACTACTGCTTCAGATACATTCTACAAATGTAAAAGGCACTGGATTTTTGTTTTATAGAATGAAGTGACAATGACAGATGGGGAAGTAAAACCTATTAGGTAAATGGTACTTTATTAGCTTAGACACTATGTCCTTTCTGGATTAAGGCCAAACTCTAACACTTAGCAACCTCTAATAAGCAGTAGTACGAAGATGGTACCTTCCAGATGCTTCAGGAGTGCCCTACTGCTATTTCCATGAGCAGATATCAGAATGGTTTTGCCACGTAATACTTCCGGAGCAATCCTTTCATTCCAATAAGGAAGGAGTCTCTCCAAAACATCCTTTAAGCTTTCGGATCGTGGCAGCTGATCTATAGGCACGTCACACACTTTGTACCTCCGGTCACTGTAGATCTCCTGATAGTACGGATGGGACTCCTCGATAGGAGGCGGGGTCACATTGTAGCTTCTTCTCCAGAGCCTCACCTGTTCTTCACCATGATTCAAAGCCATTTGCTCTCTATTGAGACCAATCAAGGCCCCATAATGACGCTCATTTAGACGCCAGGAGCTTTCCACGGGAACCCACTCCTGCCCCAGCTCCTCCAGGATCAGCCAGGCTGTGTGAATGGACCTATTCAGGACGGACGTGAATACAAGGTCAAACTCAAAGTTCAGTTCCTTGAGTTGCTTCCCACAATTCTGAGCTTCCTCCATTCCTTCGCTGTTAAGTTTCTGGTCCACCCAGCTACAAAAGCGGTTCTCCTTATTCCAGGCACCCTCCCCATGTCTTAACATAATAAGTTTATACTTGGACATATTGGTGGTTGAGCTTCCCTGGTGTTCCAAGTGGGCCAATGTTCAGTAGTTAACAGTACATCTAGGGGAGAGAAAACAAAAGAACCAGTTATAGTCTTTGTTCAACTGACTAGCTGGGAATGGAAGTACAACTGTACAATGGCCAGTTTCCAAAATACACTGGAATTCCTTTGAAAAGTTTTGATGTCGGACATCCCGGAAGCTCGTCCACTGCTACCAGTCATTCTAGGGCTAATTAATTACAGGGAACCTAGTTGACTTAAATTTTCTGATAGCTGGATAGTATGTTAATTGTATGATGTAAAATAATAGAATACCTACTTCGTTGTAATGGCAGGCTGCATTTCCGCCAGATAAAAAGGCGGTTTATGCTTACAGCAGAGAGGATTTAATAGGATTTGTAGTGGTCTAAAAGGATGACTCATGGCTGGGAACTCCCAGCTAGACTGAAAGCATCCTTCTCACTTTGTTCTTCCTCTGGAAAGGTCTACGGTCTCACCTTCTTGCTATAGGGATCATTAGACACGTTAACTCAGCAAACTGCCATGTTATCTGGTATGTTACTGACTGACAGCAACTAGCTCTTCAGTGCCACTGGCTGTACCACATCCAAGAAAATCTCAGGTCCACAAGACATCGGTCCAACATCCAAACAGCACTAAAATGATTTAAAGTGCCATTAACACCAAATGTGACAGTCACCTGAACAATCTCTCACTTGCCTCAAGATAGAGCTTTCGGCTGGAATAAATCCGGATGCAAAACAAGCTATCGGATGCACGCAGCTGAGAGATGCTGCCGGTGGAAACAGATTAGTAAGGGCAGGTCCTCGGGACTGAGAGGAACCAGGCTGATAAGGAGGCCCCTCCCCAATTCGCCAGCCCTCCAGATCTCTACACACACAGTGGCCACATTCCTAGCAGAAGAATCTAGCAAAGTGACACAGGCCTTTCTGAACTCCCGAAGTTTAAGCTGCTGGCCCCCGGAGAATCCAAAGACCTGGCGGCACCAGCCTCCACTCTCCTGGATGGACAGGTCTACATGGACAAATGTTGCTACAGGTACACACGCGGCGCTCTCCACCTCCACCCAGGACATCCGTGCTGGGGAGTAAAGATTATGTGAGCGTCTAGGCCTGGTCTTCTGCTACTGTTGGCAACTCCCATTAGCTGGAGATTTTCTGTCCCACTTACAGTGATTCACCCACAGTTACATAACATTCAGTGACAAAGTTACTAGAGTCTAGATCTAGTTTCTACTTTCCTTTAGTAACTCCTAGACATTCTGGGGAGAAAAAAAGTCCTTAAAGAAGGTTGTCTATCTCAGTGGAAGTCAGACAAGGGAACTGAGGGAGGAAGTTGGATGGAAGTGGTTTGCAAACAGTTGAAAAGGCTACAGCTTATAATCCTTCCTTCCCTTCAAGCATCAGGTTTGAAGCTTTTGTTCATGTGGAGCAGGGAAGCACCAGGTGTTGGGAGGAGTCTGGACTCAGCAGAAGACACCTCACAGGTCTGAGAATTCCCAGTTGGGGGAAGGGGGATCAGGGAGGCAGAAGAGGGAACGGGGTGACAGGCTGCTGGCAGTGTTTTGATGTTCATGCCTCCCACCCTAGGGCAGGCAGGGTCCTGTTCTCTCAGTAGAGCTTGTGAACATAACTCTCCACCCCCACACCACCATCTTGTTGGTGCTGTTTTTGTTGGATGCTGTCGAGTCAATTCCAACCCCACGGGAGAACAGAACTGCCCCATAGAGTCTTCTTGGCTGTAATCTTTACAGGAGCAGATTGCCAGGTCGTTCTGCTGGGAGGGTTCAAACTGCCAACCTTTCACTTAACAGCCAAGCTCTTAACCATTATGCAACGAAGGCTCCTTCCTTAACCCAAACATGTTGCTGTCATGTTGATTCCAAAACAGTAGAACTGCACCCATAGGTTTCCTAAATTGTAATCTTTATGGAAGCAGACTGCCACATCTTTCTCCCACAGAGCAGCTGGTGGGTTCGAACCACCAACTTTCAATTAGCAGCCAAGTGCTTAACCACCGCGTCACCAGGATTCTTTGAGGGCTCCTTCAAAAAAAAAACCATTGCCATCGAGTCAATTCCAACTCATAGCGACCCTTTAGGACAGAGTAGAGCTGCCCCATAGGGTTTCCAAGGAGCAGCTGGTGGATTCAAACTGTTACCTTTTGGTTAGCAGTTGAGCTCTTAACCACTGCCACCCAAGCTCCTAAGAGGAGAGGAAAAAGCCTTGATTCTGAGTATCACCCTATATTCAGCTGTTGCTCTCTTGCTCTCCTCACTTATCTGCTGCAAACTTCCTAAAGACTGAGCATGTCAAAAACCCTCAGTTACTTCCTGTTGGTCTTAGGGTAAAATTTAAAATACATGATGTGACCTGCAAGGCTTTCATTTTATTTCCTTGAGCATGCCTTGTTCTTCCCTGCCTCAGGACTTTTGCACATACTGTATCCTACACCAAACCCTCTCCCCAACACCTCCTCCCCTCTCCACTGCCACCCTAGCCCCACCTTGCTTAAGGTAATCTCTATTCATCCTTTAGATTGATTCTGTCCGATTGAAATATACCGTGAGCCACAAATGCAAGCCATATATATCATTTTCTAGTAGCCACCTTAAAGTAAAAAGTAACAGGTGAAATTTATTTTAATTAACCCTATGTGTCCAAAATATTTCAACCTATGATTAATAAAAAAAATTGTTAATATGGGAAAAAAACAGTAAAATACTGCATTAAGCCTTTGAAATCTGGTGTGTCTTTTACACTTAAAGCACATCTCAATTCGGACTAGCCACATCTCCAGTGCTCAGTAGTCACATGGATCACAAGCTTTAAAGCTTAGCATAAATGCTATTTCCTCTAGGCCAATGGCTCTCAAACATTAATGTGTCTCAGGGTCACCAGGAGAACTGCTTAAAACAGGTTGCTGGGCGCCGCCCCCAGATCTTCATTCAGCAGGAATGAAGTGGACCTGAGAATCTGCATTTCCAACAAGTTCCCGAGTGATGCTAACGCTGGTGGTCCCAGAACTGCACGCTGAGAACCTCTGTTCTAGGCAGACTTCTCTGCCATTCCTTCTCACCCACGGGGAACAAGGTCAGGCCTGCTACTTACATACACTTGTAGCTTCCAGCTCTATAACATTCAGTGCAGTTGTGATGGATTACTTGTACAATGTCTATGTAGCTGGTTAGACTATAAGCTGCATGAGGGCAGGTCTGACTCACTGCTGTATTCTAGAACCTAACCTGATACTTGCCACATTCTAGGTACTTAGTAAGGAGCCCTGGCAGCATGGTGGTTAAGCGCTTGGCTGCTTAGATGTGTTGGCTGAATCAAAGTCGGACCAAAATGACTAGATTGTGTTAATGAGGCTAAGGCTGGACAGTCGTAGTGGTAACTGCCCAAATAAAAACCGTTGGCAGGGCCAAGATGGTAGGAAGCTGTTACTGAAGAATCTGTGTATGTAACTGCAAAGCAATGGCCAAGAATAATCAATCAGTATATTTTTGTATTCTTTACAGTTTAGTATGTTCATGGCCATAATTACCATGAAGAAAACAGAGACTCCAACTGACTTGCTCAAAAACATGCGACCACTGATTAGCCAAAGCGGGCCTGCTATCCAGGTCTTCTGCCTCCAGCACCTACGCCTTTCCACCTCCCTGCTGAACACTGCAGAGCCCTGGTTTGAGGATCCAGGCTCCCTTGGCTTTGCTTCAGAGGAGCATCTCCAGTCACAACTTGTCCTTCCAACCCCAGGCAGCCGTTTCATAAAATGCACACAAACAGGGTGAGCATAAAGGAGGGCTCCATGCCTTACTGCTGCCGAGAAAAACCTCAGCACACAAAGTCAAGTCAGGCCATAGTCACCCCAACTTATAAAGAGGCAGCTTGCTAAGAATATATACTCCTCCTCACCCCTAAACTAAGAACTGTATTTTTTTTTAAAACCAAACCTCAAGCATTTTTTTTGTAAAGCCCACCACCCCACAGTTAGTTCTTAAGGTTCCTCTTGTATTCCTCAGCAAAGGTTACTGGTGCTTGAATTCACTAATTTTAATTAATCATTTACTTAATACCAAAAAGAGCCAAATAAGTACCATACCCAGAGTTTCCTCCCTTTTAAAGTTGGGTCTGGCTTGAAGAAAAAGTGTACTAAACAACAAGTCTTTTACAGGACTCTATTTCATCTTCCCTCTCCTCCCTCTGCTGTTTTCCTTCCATCTAGCCATTACCTTTCCATCCCCTGACATCTAACTTGCCCCTTGCCCACTCTACCGAAAGCGGGTCTCAAGAGACTGTCCCTTCGTTCTTACTAACAGTCTTCTCTCAGGACGCACACTGCTTTGACCTGTAGCATTTGATATTGCTGACTACTTCTCTCAGTGGAAAAAAATTCTTCTCCCCAAGATTTCGGTGCTGCATTTCTCCAGATTTTCTATGATTATGTCCTGGTCTTGGGTCTCTATCTTCCTACTGACAAAGAATAATACTATGATGATGTTATTAGTCATAGCCACTAACATTTAGAGTGTTCAGCCCTATTCTAATCCTCAACCACTATTCTGTTGAGTAGGTACTATTATTACCCCCATTTTACTGATGCAGGAACTTAGAAGATAGGCTAATGTGACCATGGTAACACATGTGGTAACTGACAGAGCCGGAATTCATTCTCAGGCAGGCTGGACCCCCCAGTCTACACTGCCACATTGGCACCCAAGGCTCTTTTCTCAGTCCTTGGCTCTTAATAACTGCTTCTATAGAAAACCCAACTATTCTCACTACTTTAATCAAATTAAAATGAATGATTTATAATCTAGCAGCCCCAAATACTCATTAGACTCTGCAATTGGGTCCATTAATTCACTCTTTAAACATTGTAGAAAACTCCCTTTGGGCATGGCACTCTACTAGGCCTGGGAGGAGAGTGGAATCCAACATGGGTTATGTCTCCAAGGAACTGGTGGGAGAAGGGGTGTGGGGGGGTGGGGGTCTAAAGAAGAAAGTAATCTGCATCATGAGAAAGCATTGTGTCT